GAATAGGAAAAGTCACCAGGTTGGATTTCAAACTATGTTTTAACCTGCCTTTATTGCTTTTAATGCCATCTGTGTCAGTGAAGGAGGCGAGCATGCAGAACTAGTTCAGGAACAAAGGAGGAAAACTATTCCCAAAGGAACATTGGATATTGCTGCACTACTCGATACTCCAGTGCTGCAAAGAAGTTTCTTCCATTTGCTTTTCTTGCAAGAATTGATATAAAATCCTTGTAATGAGCATTGCTGACTGCAGGAGAGCTCCCCAGGGTGTTTTCTTCCCTGCAAAGAGAGGCTTAGGCTGCACTGCTGTTGTGCCTGGATTTATTTCCTATAGTCTGAGGCAGACCTGGGTCTGTGTTTTACTTTCATGGGGGCTTGCAGAGCTCGGAGAGGGATAACAAGCAGAAAACAACAGCCGAGTCCGCAGACGGAGCCTTGCAGGCTGCTTTGGGAAGAGCCACGCACGCTCATTGCAGCCAGTGCCATCATGCAGCAGCCTCAAAGCAAAGCATTCCAAGGAGATGTGCAGGTGGGAGCTGCCTTTCATCTTCCTGAGAGAGAATGAAGGAGGTGTGCGAGCACAGTGCCTTCCTCCCTGTGAGTCTTACTTTGAGTTTGGAGCTGTTTGGGTTTGAGCACGAACCACCATCGCTTTGAAATTCAAATCCTGGCTTTGAACTCCCCCTCTCCCACCTGTGCTCAGCAAACCACCAAAAACAGACAGAGGAAGAGCAGCACAGAGCTGCAGTTCATCACTGGCAGCAAAGTGGGGCTTCTGACTCATCGTGGCCTCCAACCCCGCGTCCCTGCGCTGCAGAGCTCAGCACAAATGAGTAATACAAATGGATAAGTATTATTTCTTAAGGACAACTCATTCTGATACCTGCCATCTCACAGGCAGACAAAACAAGCCGATCTTGGCAGGTAAACCCAGCTATAATCATGGTATGTAAAATATTATCATCTCATGCTTCTACACACAACTGCTATTCAGGAAAGGACCCCCATTCCCTGCTGTTTTTACTGTATGATACCAGTTTAAGTGTGTGCAGGTACTCAGCACAGGTTGAAAGCATTGCTTGACAGAGGGTGAACACTAAATTTCAGTCCTAAGGAGAATGGTGTGGTTTTCGCTGAGCTCAACCAGCTGCGTGCCAGCTAACCTGCAAGCAGACGAGGCTTTGGCACAGCAAATGGCAAGGGTAAGAAAGAAGTGGTAACAGGATGCTCCGAGCTTGTGTTTTGACTGCGAAATACACCAAGTCTGGGTGCAATCCTTCCGTGCTGGCTACACGTTTTCATCGTCCCAAGGTGAACCAGGCTGCTCAGGTCCTGAAAAGCCCCATAGGAGCCCCCCATCCTTTATGAGAACACCACCAGCAGCTCAGCTGTGTTTTATGGAACCCAAGGGCTGTCGAGCTGCCAGAATGCTGCCATTTCTCGTCTCTTGAAAGCAGTTATGCTTCTGCATTGCTTCTCCCTGCTCCTGCCCTTGGTGTGAGGGGATGGTGCCTTTCAACCACTGATAGCACTGCTGGTTCCTGGTTTTCAAATGCTCTGCTAACACAAGAGCTCACAGCAGTGAGATTCTTACAAAGCTCCTTTTCTTGCTGGAACAGAAAATGTGCAAAGACTTTTCAGCAACACCAGAAGCGGCCACAACTTCTGAGTACAGAGGGAGACTCTAAGATGAGCATCTCCCACAGAAAACCTGAATAAAAAGTCAAGTGAAGAGGTCAACGGGAAAATACCATAAGCAGGGGCTGAGATCATACGAGAAGTGCCTGATCCTCGCTTGGTTGGAGACACAGAAACCTTCCTGCAAAGAGATCTTGTCCCCACTCCTTGCCAAGGCGCACTGAGGGTGGCTCCAACCTGTCTTTCTGGTGGCTCCGTCCATTTATCTTCTGCTCAGAGAAGACCAAATTACAGCATCCTCCCAGAGAGGCTGGAGCCGAGCTTTAGAAAGATAAAGATCTTCCCTGAGATCTCTTAAGCCTCGAGATCTTCAGAGGGCTCCCGGTCTTACTGATGCATTTGGTTCAGTAATGATGGCTGCAGGAGTCAGAGGTGAGTATTTACAGAGAGGGGAACATGGAGGGCACCATCAGCCTTCAATTTCAGCTACATCAAAGGAGCTTCTTGGGCTCCTTCAAAGCTAGAGATAAAATTCACATATCTGTGATGCTCCAATCCATTACTAGCATTAATCAGAATGCAGCTGTGGTGGCAAAGCCTGGCTCATTTCCCCACAACGAAGCTCTGAGCGTGCAATTTCACTGCCATTTCTTCCTCTTTCCTCTCCTAGATCTCAAGGTTTCGTTTTTCCCCCACTGTTTTCCCTCCAAACATTCACCAAAAGCTTTGAGCCAAGCATTTCCCCTCTTGCAATATGCAGTGGGCATACCAAATGCATTCCATCAAAACAAACTACATTCCCCAAATTCCCATGAACTGTTTCCTTACCAATGCTGGAAAACAAAGCAATAAATTAGAGCCAGCTATGCTTGTCTGAACTGGGTAATGGCTTCAAGTCTGACCCTTACAGGTTTGTGAGCTGTCTGCTGAATGCACTACTGCATGAGAATGGCTTCATGGAGAAGGGTTAGCATGGCAGGGTTTTGTCCATAACCCACCACTGGCAATACAACTCAACCACCTGCCTCGATCCTGTGTGTAACGTAGGGGCTGCGTCTGGGAGGTCCTGCGTCAGGGACTGATCCCTCCCTGTTTGGATGTTCAGTTCATTTGGAGGGATCCACATCCCTGTGCACTGCAGGGCAGTTGCACCTGATGACCCTTCAAGGTCCTTTCCAACTCTAAGGATTCTAATGATCTATGATCATCTATGATCTAATTCTAATGATTCTATGATCATCGCTCCGAAGCACAGCCACCTCAGGTTTTTTAAGATGGAGGGGAGGAACAATGGGAAATAGGGACAAGGAAGACATTTTAATTTGATACAGTGTGTGATCAGCAGAAATCTCAAAAAAGCTACACAGTGCATGAAATATGAGGCAACAGCAGCCAAGGCACACAGTAAGTTTGGTTCAAAAAGAAGTGATAGCTGCAAGGAGAGCAGTTTATCAATCTGAAGGTTGGCCTGAGAACAGCAAACAGATGCTGCCAAGCCGTGGCAGCCTCTAAGCATTAGGTGCCATGCTTAATAGATGCACAGCCACACAATTAAAGAAGCTGCTGCAGAATGGCCAAGCTCCAAAACAGGACTGGGTGCGGATGAGCACTGCTCTTGCAAGTCCTTGGGGCAGCTCGCTCACAGTGCTGCCCGTGGAAAGCCAGGGACCCTTCTTTCCTCCCAGTTACCAGGAGAAAAGAAATTCTTGGCAGTTTTCCCATCAAGTCAAGTGCTCGCCTGGCTCAGTGACACATCTCAAAAATAGGTATCTAAGGCAGCCCACCTGGGGGTTGCTGCAGTCTTGAAGAGGCTTTTACACGTCTTAGTTCATTCTTCAGCTGTTCCCCTGCAGTTTGGAATAATGACCAAAGAGCCTTCAGGAATTGGGTGCTGACTTTCTATTAGCTATGGGAAATACAAATATCTCAGTGTCCATAACACAGCATAGAACTGAAGGATGTTTTCATAGCACACACCAGGAGAAGGTGCTTGCCAAAAACAAGAGGGCAACTGGAGGGCAACCGCATGAAGGTTAACATGGGCAGTGGCAAATTCTGCTGCTGGGACGGATACATGTGCAGACTGGGGGATGAGAGGCCTGGGGAAAGGGATCTGTGGGTTCTGGTTGATGGTAAATCAAATTGGAGCCAGCAGTGTGCTCCTCCTTCAGCGAGGCACAGAGCAAACCATTCGTTATGCTTCCCATTCACAGCACTGCATGCTTGCAAAGCTCCACGAGCCCCCTCCCCCCTTATGCCACCCTTCCTCCAAAGCCAAACCTTTTCTTGGACAAAATCCAAGATGTTCTTGAAGTCAAGGTCGTCATAATAGTGGCGAATGCCCTCCTGAATGTTGGAGTGCAAAACTGCATTCATCTGTGGACAGGAGAAACATAAACACATCTCACACTTGGAACAGACAACAGCAAAATATCACAGACTATGAAAATCATGCAGAGAAATCTTTTCATAGCATAGCATTGCTGGCTGTCACTAGAATGAGAATCTAACTTGCTGTCCCAACCCTTTTGGGGCATAAGTCATCATTTTTGATCTCTCATAGCTGCACCCACCATCCTTCACCCACCTGAGTTTTTCTATGTGCTGCACATCCAATTGAATTATTAGGGTGATGACTTCTTGACAGCTCCCTATAGACCTCCAACCTCATCTCTGACGTAGCTTTAACCCCTGGTGGGGGGTGCTCTGCATCTGGAAGAGGCAAAACAGCCTCTGATAGCCAACAGCACCCTCAGATGGGCTGCACATGGGAGCAGAGCCCTCATCAGAGTCCACAATCACCACCAATCCCAACAAACCTTCCAGTGATGCAGCCGTGTCCATGGAGCAGCAACGTGGCTCTGCGAGCTGCCTGCATCTCTGAGGGAGCTTTGATGCTTCAAATTAAACACTAACCAAATGGAAAATGCATTTCACAGATGCATGGGAAGATTATTTGTGAGCTGGGAGCAGAGCCTCCAAATGAGCTATGCCAAGCCTGGCGTGGGTTTGCCACTTTGCTCCTGAAAAAGGGCCAGGCAGAAATGCTAACGGAGGAAAAGGGAACGTTTTCTGAGTTAGAAGTGAGGGATGAGAGGAGAAAAAGAACGTCGTTCTTCATAATTCACTGACATGAAAATTAGGGGTTGGGCGAACTGGGAGCAGGGAGATGAAGATGGGGAAGAGAAGAAAAAAGAAGAAAATGAAGGCATGTCAGAGTGGGAAACAAAGCCTGCCGACAGTGAGGGATCAGGTAGAGGAACTGAAAAAGCCTTTCAGAAACCACTCCTGTGAACACTGATTCAAACATTGCTCCATAGCTTTCCCAACACAACAGGCAAACCTGGGTTCTGCTGCTCCCTGTTTCTTTCCCACATGGGCTCACCCTTCAATCCCATCATCTTCCCATACGATCCCAGCATCCCAAATGAGATCTCAGCTCCAAGTTCTGGAGATAACGCTGCAGGGAGGGCACCGAATGTGCTATAATCCCCCAAACCATCTGCATATCAACAGAGTGCAATACTCAGTTGTGCAAGATTGTTGCGCTCAATACTCAGTTGTGCTCAATACTCAGCAGTGCAAGACCACTGTGCTCATTCCTCCTCAGCTCCCCCTACTTATTTAATACAAAACCCAATTAAATCTCCTTGACTAGCTTGACAAGCATTGCTCCAAATGCAGATTTGTGCCTCCTCACAATTTTAGGTCGGGTGGTTCATCACTTGTTGGGTCTCTTTTCCCTCCGCCCCGCTGTTTGATTTCCAAATTACACATTAGATTTAAATTAGGGGATGATTTCTGCACTAATGGTTTGATTCATCCCCTGAGTTTTCCTGCAAAGCTGTGATCCCCTCTCCTGCTGCACAGGGCGGTGCTGAGCATCAGTACAGGGGAACAAGGGTGGAGAGAAGGAGCAAAGTCAGCGATTTTGTGCCATTTTCTATGAAAATACAGCCAGCACGTGCCATGCCAGCACATATTGATTTCCTTTACATGGGAAGGACTCAAGTGCTCTGATTTTCCTTATAGAGTCACATCTCCCCACTGGTGTCCTGACAGCTCCCCAGGATTGGAGGTTTTTGGAGAGCTGCTGGACAGAGCTGGCTGCAGCATCCATTCATCCTCCTCCCCTTCCACTTTGGGTCTCACCGAGTGCCTGAATCCCAAACCCAGCCCCAGCCCATCAGCTTTTGAAGGTTTGAAAGCATCAATTTGTCTCTGCAAAAGTGAATTGCTGTTTAGAGCCCTTACGTACATATTTTGGATGTTGCTCTCCTGGCCTGCACACCCCTCCTTCCAGCCGAGGCTGAGATTTGATATTTAATTGTATGATTGATTACAATAGTAAAATAAAACTGAATACGGTGTGCTTTCTTCAGCAGAAGCTGGGCAGCCAGGAATATTTCCATTGGAAGTAGTTACCAGTCTTGCTGGTTCAGCTATAACTGAAACCTGTCCTCGCACACAAGTCAGCAGTTACTGTAATTGAGACAGGGAGCTTGATGAGAAGCACAAGAATTTTTGGCTGGGAGTCTGCAAGGGAGCTGCTGCTGTGGTAGGAGCAAGGTGCAGCCTGAGAAGAGCAAGAACAACCAACATCTTCCATTCTCAGCTCATAGGCAGACATGAGGTGAGAAGGAAATCTCCCCCCAGCTCACATAGGCTGCAGCTTGCCACTGTGCTAAGCCAAGGAGCAGCTCCTCCAGCCTCCTGATGGCACTCACCTTGTTTTCAAAGATGATTTCAATGAATATCAACAGCAGCTCCGTGATGAAGATCACCAGAAGGACCCAAAAGAACTGGAAAGAGACAGAGAAGGATTAACCCTGCTGCAAGCCAGGCTGCGTCCGCTGCCAGCACTCAGCTGTGATGAGGGAGAGCTGGAAAGCAAGAGATGCTCAGAGACACTTAGAAATCAGATCATTTCATTACGATCTCCCCAGGGAGCTCCAAATCTCCTCCAAAGATATCAGTCCTAAATTTGCTACCCAGTAGAATGAATGGCAGGAAGGAAGGATGGATCAAAAAAGAAACCAAATGTAATTTGGATGGCTAAATTCTGCATGGGTAAACAGGCAAAATGGATGCAGTGGAAGAAAGTATTTCCTCTGGGTGGATATAGATGTGCAGAGAAATGCCAACACCTATTATGATGGAATGCCAGGCCTTGGCTGAACATTGATGTTTCCAGGCCAGGCATCCAATGGAAAGTTCTCCATCCCCAGAGCAGGGCAGTAACTCACATCTCTGACAGACTGATGGTGGCAAAAAAAAAACCTGATCTGGAAATTGGTGTCCTGATGAAGCAAGCAACTTCAGCTGGGAGGTTTGTTATTCCTGCAGCCCACGCTCCTAAAGCTTCAATCTTATGTGAGAGATTCCATCTGGGACCGTGCCCAACTTTGCAGAGGATGGACAGCAAAGCTCTGTTTGGCTCACATGCATCCATCTCCCCAACATTACCTTCCTCTGCAGCTTTGGAGACTCACCAGTAAAAGGAAGGTGGAAAGTTACCATGGTAACCAGCTAAAAATCCAAACAAAAATGGAGAAAAAAAAAAAAAAAAAAAAGCGAGTGGAGGTAAATTATTACCATGATATTCACTTTGTCCCCTGGTTTATTAGCAGAGCCTTGTTAGCAAGACATTGAAGCAGACATTGCACGGATCCGTGTGCCCAGAAATTATTTCCCAAGCTCAATGAGACTAAAGCACCCCTGCAGCAGCACCATGCTTGGTGTGCAAACCCCAAACTGCAGGGTTCTCATCAGCCTCCCTTGGCTGAGTTGTGCACCGTGCTTGTTTGCCAACAGCCAACCACTGCAGTCCTACTGGAGAAGCAGCACCGCTTTTCCCATCACCTAAATCAGCTTCTAATGGGCCGAGTTTAATTAGGCAGAGAATCCCGTAACCAAACACCTATCATCCCATAGTCAGAGACAACACAGCATGCATCAAACCCGATGGAAAAGGAATTTGAGCCAGCAGGAAGCCCAGGGTGGTGCAGCTGAGACTTCCTCACGTTCTGGCCATTGAGTGCTGCACACCGATTTCTTTGTCTCCCACTCTTTCTGTGTTTCTGCTGCACAGCTTTTCAACTCAAGGCATAAAAAGCAAGATTCACATAATGTAATCCAGCCTGCTCCATGCATATTGACATCAAAGTTAATATTTCATATCCAGGAGTCTTGCCTGGTTTATAGACAAACGTGGACATATTTTGGATAAGTGCAGGGGATGTTGGCTGTACCTGGCTGTTTAGAAAAATGACTGCTTTCAAATACTTCATCAGATGAGGTTCACAGCTATTAAACTCTTTGCTTCCACGAGAGCAGCGGGTGAATGGATGAAACTGAATGAAAAGTGCAAGTTCTGTGCCAGAAAGACAGATACAGAAAGGGAAAAGCTGGCAGAGGCTGATTGCCAGTCCTTCCAAGAGGCAAAGTGCAAACCTGGGGGGTCATGCAGGTGATGCCCAGCTGCCCCTGGACACCACACAGTGTGTGACTTTGCCTCCAGAAGGACCATTTCCCTTATCAAGTACAGAAAGAAGGTTGGCAAGGAAAGCAGCCACAAGCCCCATCTGCAGCCTTGCAGACGTTCAGCCTGAATGAAAACCAAGCAGTGGCTGAATGGAGCAGGCAGACCCTTGGCTGGTTGCACTGACAAAGCAGAAAGTGCCTTTTGTTGTTGCTTTCCCAAGGACTGCAGCAACCATCAGTAACAGGAACACGTGTGACGGAGCAAAAACGTTGTCAATGTCTGCAATCACCCACTTACAGACGCATCGCAGCCTTTGCTACCTGCCAGACCAGGCGTGAATAAAACAGCATTTTACTTTCCTTAAAAAGACTCCAGCAGCGGCTGAGCAAAAACCCACCCTAAGCAGCATCTAACCCTGCCTTGAGTTGCTGTAGGTTTGCAGCAAGCTGAAAAAAAATATATTAATAATCATAAAGTAAGTGGAAAAAAAAAATCGCAAAGCAAAAGCAGTGCGCTGAGGAGCTGTAGAGTGTGAAGCAAAAGCTTCACGAAGAAAAAAATAGCCTTAAAAAAACCCTCAGCTACCAATTTATCTTGCTCAAGTTGTCTGGCAAAAGGAAAAGATTCTCAGTTGTCATTAAATTAACACTTGCTGCAGTCAGCTGTCCTCAATGAAGCTCGTCGCTTTGCATACACCTGCAGCTGCGCCTTCCCAGGCAGCCTCCAAGTCTTTCTGCCATCTCCGTGTGTCAGGTGGGATGTCTTGCGGCAAAGTTTGCTCTCCCAGAAGCTTAAAGATCACCTGAAATCCTCAGTTGATGCACAGCAAGCATTTCTAGACGTGGGATGAATTGATAGAAGAGTGCAAAGCTGAGAGCATTTCATTTCCAGATCACGGGCATCACGCAGCCATCTCCAATTAAATACACCCACACCAGGGCAGAAAGGATTGCCATGGGTCAGGGATGGGTGGGTATTTCTGGAAGGTTGGATGCCTCAGGGTGAATAAATCATGCAGGGATCCAGCCCATACAAAGTGCCTGCAGCCGTGGATGGAGGCAGGGCATTGCTCCGTGCTGCTGAGCTCTCAGCACTCTCGTGGCCACAAGAGGCTCAAATTTGCTGAGCCTGAGTGTGACACGAATGGCACTTGGGATGGTAAAGGAATGCTCTGTTTGCCAGGGATGTGGAAGGGAAAAGATGCAGCCACAAGGATGGGAAAGAGCTCCTGGAGCCATACAGAATAGAACCATAGGACAACTAGGGGTGGAAAGGACCTCCAAGACCACTCAGTCCAACCATCCACCCATCTCTAGTATTTCCCTCAGTAATGTCACGGCCCATCTAAATGCCTCCTGAACACCTGCAGGGATGGTGACCCCATACCCATTCCAGCTCTCTCTTTCAGAGCTTTTCCTAACGTCCAACCTGAGATACCAGAGTCTCAGTCTCAATTTAATACAAACACCCTCACGGAATGTTTTATCCTTGTTGTGAGCACTCTCAATCCTCCCCTTGGAATGGGCCTGTTATGCATTCGCACAAATATGTCACCATATCTCATTTTTGTCCATGTCTAGAGATGCTTCCCAAGGGAAGGAGCTCAGTCAGCCCACTGAAACCTACACAGGAAAAGGGTTGGGATCTGCTAACACCAACAGCAGGTTGGCAAGGGATGGAAAGCCTGGATTCGTTGCCAAGATTAAAAGAAACTCATGCAATTTACCTTCTCTTTTTGTGAATCACAACCTGGGAGGGGGGAGGTGGGGTCACACACACAGGAGTCTGCAGCAAAGCAATCCTTTGGTTTTGGACATCTGGAGAGGGAAGTGGTTATTCCTTCTGAGACTTTGCAGAGCACCTTCTTCTATAGAAAAACAGCAATAACCCCCTCTGTCACTGTGGCCTGGGATGCTGCTTCATGCAAACAGTGGTGTTTTAGTTACAGGACATGCAATTTGCCTCTCCTGCCCCTCTGCCCATCCACCTCACTGGGTTTCACACATGCATTTGCCAAGCTTCGAATTGAAATACACATTTCCTCCATGCTTCACCATCTGAATGACCAAGAAACCTGTTTTCAACTCCCAGTGGGCTGGCAGCCTTGTAAATAATTGGCTGGGACGACCAAAGAGCCCCAAGCACACAGCATGGTCCACCCAACAGATACGCAGCCCTGCCTGCACCCTGTCCTGTAGATGCCAGCTCTCCAAATATGCCCCTCTCTGCTCCCCACGCCTACCAGAAAAGCATTTCTTTCCCTCATTTGGGTTTTTACAGACTTTCAGCCTCTACCAGATTGCCATCACCTCCATCTTTGTAAAAGTCCTGTGACCTGGAACTAGAACAGGTTGCCCTAGGAGGTTGTGGAATGCCATGCAGGCATTCAAGGCCAGGCTGCATGTGGCTCTGGGCAGCCTGGTCTGGTGGTTGGCGACCCTGCACGTAGCAGGGGGTTGGAACCAGATGAGCACTGTGCTCCGTTTCAACCCAATGCCATCCTATGATTCTACAACCCTCCACTCCCATTCTGAGACCAAGACAGATGTTGCAGTGCACCAGGCAGAGCTACAACACTCTCATGCCCCCCCCCAAAAAAAAAAACCACACAAAAGGAGGGTTTTATGAAGCCCCACTAATTCAGTGCAAGGAGGGCTGTTGTTATTGCAGTTGATGATACAGGGATGAGATTAGAAAAGAAAGAAACCTGCACAAGAAACAAGTCAGAGCAAGCACCATGTAAAAGAACACAACGTGCTGGGAGTTTGCTGGGGATGCTCGACATAAGAGCTCTGGGAAGAATAAAGCATGCCTTTTGTTGCTTGCAAAACCATCCCCAACCACTCCTAGAATGACAGCAAATGGAGACACAGCAAGAAATTGAATGTGAAAGTGGAAATAATCAGTGTGGCAAAGGAATCATTCACTCCTGCAGGGCTCCAGCTCCCTCGTTTCCTCTGGAGTCAAACCTGGGCCAAGCAAATCCCCACTGAAAGCACACTGCAGTGATTAAAGAGCCCCAGTCAAGTGGTGACTAACCCTTAAAGAAGGAGATCAGCCACTACTGCCTGCAGAAAGTTCCTCTTGCTGCCCTGGGGTTCCTGCTTTGTCTCAGTCAAATGAAATGATAATGATTGTAATAATGATAATTCAAAAAAAAAAAAAAAAAAAGGATTCAAAGGAGAACTAATTAAGAAGGCTGGGAGGCCCTTGCAAAGCTTTTCCTGATTATATATTTTCCTGGGATTGTTGTGTTGGAACGTTTGCAGATCTGCCCCACTGCTGAGAGTGCAGCGGATGAGCCCAAATCACAGAGCA